GCATCTATTATTACTTTTAGGAAGGTACCACACCCAGATTTCAGGAAGTATCTGGCCTGGAAAAATTGTGCATTTGTATTTTTTTTATTTATTTGTTTATTAAACTTTTTAACTGCCCAGTTCAATCACAAAGAAGATTGGTTCCTTTGTAAAAGAAGATACAAGCAGGATAACGTACATACATGGATACATACATACAAACATACATACATACCAGAAGTGGGTTCCTACCAGTTCGCACCTATTCGGTAGAACCGGTTCGTCAAATCTACCAAACCGGTTAGAAGAGTTTCCACCAGTGGACCTGGAAAGCCGGCCACACCTACAGAAGAGGTTCCAAATTTTTTTGAGACCCTCCACTGATACATACATACATTAATGGCTGTTTTTGTGTGTGTGTGTGTGTGTGTGTGTGTGTGTTTTATAAATATGAGCATGATAGTGTGGAATAATCATATCCAAGGACCAGTGGGGGGTTTCAAAAAATGTTGGATCCTCTTCTGTAGGTGTGGCCTGCTTTCCAGGTCCACTGGTGGAACCTCTTCTAACCGGTTTGGTAGATTTGACGAACCGGTTCTACCGAATAGGTGCGAACTGGTAGGAACCCACCTCTGATCCCAACACTACATTTTCTCCTCTACAAATACTTCTGTAGAAGACACATACAAGACAGTTAGACATTCACCCAAATAGTTAGACATGAAAATCCACAAAGATTTTTGCAGAAAATGTCATCAGTGATATGCCAGGCTTCTGCCACATCCAGCCAATGTAACTATTGAAATATATATTTACTTAGAAATTTGGCATATGATTTCATGCACTATTCCACTATGAAAAGAGGATACCACATTGGGGAAAGCCTATTTATCCAGAGTCCCTTTCAATGCAATTATCCTATAATTTATCATGAATCCTGTCTAAACATTCATTTACCCACATATCACCCATAATGTGTAGGGTGGTCACATGAGAGTGACATAAATATACTGTTAATTTATGGTAAGGATGCCATCAATTATTTAGGAGCAGATGTTCCTTTTCCAAGACAAGTACAAAGCATTCCTGTAAATAATTTGTTTTAAAACAGTAGGAGAAACATTAGAAAAAAATATCTGGGAACTTCAACAAAATGCTGCAGACTAGGGTGTAATTTCTCAGGAAGTCAACTACTAATTCCAATTCAATCTTCTAACTTCTTCTACGTATTTCATAACGTAAGTAGTTTGTTCATTGCAAACTTCGGGAAACAATCAAATGAGATATACTGTATATCTTCCAAAAACATCTGCTAATCAGCTGGAGGACTGGCCGAGCAAGAACTTATTATACAGTTTGCAAAAGTCAATAAATAGTAAAACTAATATGTTTTTGAATCCAGCAAAAGGCCAAGCAACAGATGTCCCTTCAGTTAGTCCTTGATTTATGACCACAGTGGAACCTAGAATTTCATTTGTTAAGTCATTGCAGTCAAGAGTTAAGGCACCAAGTGACTGGATTTGACTTTATGACCATTTTTATGAAAATTGTAAAGTGAATTTCCACTGGTTAAGCAAATCACATGGTTGTTAAGTGAATCACAAATCCATAAGTGTGAGCTGGTTGCCAAACGCTTAAAATGTGATCATGTGACCAGGGGGGCATGGCAGTTGTAATTTCAAGGATGGGTTGTAAGTAGCTTTTTTGGGAATCTGTCATAACTTTGGTTAAGTGATGGGTCGTAAGTCAAGGACTACCTTTATACAGTTTCATGCTGAACTGTTTAAGAATTGTGAAAGCAAGTGGAGTATCATAAATTAAAAGCTAAGATATCATAAAATGTACATAGAAGTATAATATCAGAACTTACATTGGGAAGGAATACAAAGTCATCCAAGGTGACATAGAGAACATTGTTGGAGGAACAGAATGCAAATTTGGTAGCTAATAATCACCAGGGCACCTAAATGTATTTTGATTCATTTAGATATTCAGATAAGAAGTGGATTGAAACCTCAGCAGAAACACAGAGTCCACTTGGCCTGCCAAATTCCAATCTATACTCTAGTCTGGGGAGCACAGATTAGATCAGTTCAAAATATCAGAAGAGTCACACTATATCAGAACAATTTATTCTGCCATCCTGTTTCACATTATGGTCATAAGCTAGGAATGAAAATATGATCTCTTGCCTGTTTATCTTTCCCGGAAAGTGGTATTTGAAGGGACAAACTGCCCTTTCTCACAGATCACACTAGGCTTCTGTTATTAAGTAAGACATATTTAAAAGATTGATTGTGCGCATTCCAATGTCACTTCATCCAGGTGGTTCACAGAAATATAAATAGTAAAACAATGTGTTTAAAATAATATCTAAAATAAGACTTAAAAAGTCAAACTAATCATATTTTTTTAAAAAAACAGATGCTACAAGATAGTAATTCTCAATTAAGTTGAACTTTCTACAGAAAAGAAAGTCTTGGCTTTGTTAAATTTCCCATTGGAATTGGGCAAGTAAAACAAACATAAAAACACCATTAGAAAGAAGGAAGCCATCTTAATCTGGGGGTAGGGAAGTTGACATGGAGCAAGGGAACTGTTACTAAGAAGAACTGCCTCTGGCTTCCCAGTGTTTCTGGAGGAAATAAGGATCCAATCCACAATTGAACTGGACTCACACAATACACCAAGCCATAAGCCAATGTGTACAAACCACAAAGCTTTGATTCAAGTAACACAGTAAGTCAGATTCGACCAACCACGCTCTGGCTTAGGAAAGTCTGCAGACCCACATGTCCCTAATTGGGCAGAGAAATCTATACTTACGTAGGCCTTTTTATTCTTTCTCTCCTCCATGCATTTATTTATGATATAGATCTATGATTTGCCATGAGAGAAGCGTTCAGCTATATGCGTGGATGTGTGCATGACTTCAAAGATAGTCATGGCTCCTTTTAGGATTATGATATTACCACCTAAATTAGCTTTTCTTAGTCTGGCTAGTGTGATCAAACCTGTAACAGTAGAAAATAGGAAAGAACACCACAATAGTGTATTGGATATTACAATGTACCCCTGAAGCTTAAAAAAGCCAATTGTTGAATAAACGTTATAGCCACTGAATCGACAATTACGCAACTGCACATAACAAAAACTGTTTAAGTAAACCAAGTTCATGTCCCTTCAAGCCTTGAATTCAGCTCCCACAATCCGCCATAAAATGGTTGCTCAAACTCATATCTCTTCTTGTGCTTTCTCACTGGAGAAGTAAGTTGTTACACCATATAAAATCTGCCCACAGCTTTTCCATGTTTATTCAGGGGGTGGGTGTGATTTGTTTTTTTTTTCCTGAGGTGAAAAAGTCACCTCGGAGCTGTGAATGTAATCTCAGCATGAATAAGATGGAGATTACAGCCCCCTTTAATGCCCTATCAAATCACTTCTCCATACTCGATGACAGCTTTTGATCTACACTTTACATTTGTGCTCCACAAATGGAAAAAGAAGAGTTCTGCATGTGTGAAAATGAGGCCACTCTGCTGGTAGCTGTCTATATCTCTTGCTGCTGCTTCTGGGGGCCTGCGGTTTTCCTCAATACTCTTTTTGGAGGCAGTCAGGTAGCTAGCCAAGGCCAATTTACTCTCTCTCTCTCTTTCTGTCACACACACACACACACACACTCAGAGGCTCACAAAGACATCTTTCAAATTGCTCTCCTGTCATTTTGAAAAAGCAATTATAAACCCACAGACTCAAATTATCATCTGCAGGTGCAAGAGTGATGCAGAAAGAACCCTATTAGAACTTGGCTGTCGGTGGGAATCACACAGATGCTTTAAAGATCATGTCAAAGATTGAAATATGGGGCAGGATTTAGGCAGCCACCTCATAATTTTACCCCATTTAGCCTTCATAACTGGCTAGATAAATCTTCTAAAATGGATGAAACTATTTTATATTGGCTTCTGTTGATCCAAAAATAAGACTAAGGTTGCATTTATATATCTATATCTATATCTATATCTACACCCACACACACACACACACACACACACACACACACACACACACACACACACACACACACACACACACACACACAGGTCTTGTTGTATTTGGGTCTTTTCCTGTGTAAGATTGAGATTGTCTTGGCAACGTTTCAGCAAGGTCTCACCCGCCATCTTCTTTAAGACACTTTAAGCCGAAAACACCAGCCTGAGGATGGCGAGTGAGACCTCACCAAAACGCTGCCAAGACAATCTCAATCTTACACAGGAAAAGACCCGAATACAACAAGACCAGCATAACTACACCTGTGAAAATCTATGAAAAGAAATATTTTATACACACACACACACACACACACACACACACACACACACACACACACACACACACACACACACAAACCAAGATTCCTCAGTGCCACCAAGATCAGGATAAGTAGTGAAATGAGGCACAGTGGCCAGAAGATGGCATTAGGCACATTAAGTTTCTTTTAATAACCACATCTAGTGCCCAACTACTGCTGTGCTGAATCTCAAAATACACCTTTATTTCAGTTTTACAGTCCCGCATTGTTGTGATATTTTAGTCCATCGCATTACAGTTCACGGCCAAAAATGAATAGACAATAGTGAAAGATTACCAAGTAATGTAGTGCTGATAGAAAACTTTTAAGTAATTGTATTTGCTGACATAATATTTTGGATTTCTTTTCAATAGCACCTACTAAAAGAATGACTTCCTTTATTTCTGAAATATTTTATCATCTTGGTTCATAACATCTCTTTCAACACTAGACAGCCCTGACCTAATCTTTTTGCATGTTTAATTGTATTCAATCATGCATTTCTGAAATGACATCCTTAGAGAATTTTAACATTCTTTGGTCTTCAGCTTTTCTTCTTTGTCATGGAATTTTAGGAGCCCTGTTATAAGTCTTCTATTCTGAGCAACATTTGACTTTTAATTAGTTTATGTTTAATTAAAAATTGGGATACTCCAGCTTCAATTACCATTTGCAATCACGGAAATAGACAGTCTGCGTAGAATTTCCAATCGTAATGCAAGGCAATATCTTGCTATCATTAGGAAAGAACAGATACATAAGAAAAAGCAACAAAATAAAATGTGAAGAACAAAAGAGAACAATCAGAAGTCAGTTTTTTCCAGTTTTGGGATCTTCCAGTAAGGTATTTATTGGTGTATGCAAAACATTTCAAATCTAAACTGCTTCAAATTTTAAACACCCTGTTTTGAGTGTGAAGTAATAGTCGTGAGCTTGAGACAGGCCATTAGAAGCGTATTGGAAGTATTCTAAATTTGGAACAGCTGTGTTTCAAAAGCACAATGCTGTTTCAAGTTTAACACACTAGAAGAATATAGAAAACAACCCATTTTGCAATTGACATAGCTGTTTCACACTCAAAAGAAAGGATTTCAAGCTGAAAAATGGGGTGCTTGCAAATTTGAAATGGTTTAATGTGGAATGTTTTGCATATCATAGCCATTTTTTATGCCATACAGAATGTAATATAATGCAATGACAAGTGTTTGGAAGGACATCAATGCAATTCTATACATGACTACGCTGGAGTACATCCAAGAAAATACCAAAAGTGAATAGAGGTGGGTACATATAGCAGGGATAAGAACTTTCTTTCGTGTGAGGGTCATATTGCCCCAAAGGACACGTTCCAGAGACTGAATGACATCAGAGACTAAAGGGCTACAACCCAAATCTAAGAAAAGTAGCTCATTATGTAATGAAAGCTATACTTAGAACAAAGGAGTGAGTAATTAATTTGGAAGGCATCATGCTGATGGGGCTGAGATCCTCGAATTCTGGCAAATAGAAAAATCCTTCACAGGGCCACTGCTCATTTATTGTAGTCCTCTTGTCGGTAAAGTATGATTAATCAACTTTCACACGACTTTGTTAAAACCACTTTGAAATCTTCCTTTCGAATGCTAATGCATGCTGTAAATAGAAGTGAGATAGCTGCTGGGCAAGTGTTTCCATTATGGAACTATCCATCATGATGAAAATGTAAAAGTTTTTGGCTGGTTCTGCATAACCATTTTTGAAATCCAAACTGGGCAAATGACTACTCTCAAAACAGAGGTAGCTTCTACTTCATCCTCAGAAACTAAAGAACCTTCAAAGTTGCTTGCATACCAAGAAATATACCCCAGATCTTCTTTCCTTTCTTTTATAAAGTACCATTTTCACTTGGAAGAGATGAAATGATATAAATTGGACATTTGTACTAGCCCACACTCCACCCCTCTCACCATAACATCTATAACTGTAACACACAAATACATACGCTTTTATTTATTTTTTATAAATAACTGACAGTGGCAAACACAACTGATACTCCTTCCTCCTCCTATTTTCCTCATAACAACTCTGTGAGGAAAATTGGGCTGAGAGTGAGAAAGTGGCCCAAAGTCACACAGCTACTTTCATGCCTAAGACAGGACTAGAACTTGCTGCCTCCTGGTGTCTAGCCTGGTGCGTTAAACACTATACCAAACTGAGTCTCGATCAGGAATGAAATTCAGCCATTTCTGGAGAACTGGTAGCGGAAATTTTGAGTAGATACCACCTCTGGCTGCCCCTTGAGTGGGGAGGAAATGGAGATTTTGCAGTATCCTTCACCTGCCATTCCCACCAAGCAACAGCCACAGAACCGGTAGTAAAACAATTTGAATTTCACCACTGCTCTCAACGTATAAAAAGTAACAAACAAATACATTAAATTAGATGTTCCAGCTCATTCACATTCAGTTCATTCGTTCAATTTCATATTTAATGAAAGAAACAGCAAGGGCAGAGAAAATACCTGGCCAGGATTAAGTGTAACCACGTGGGCTCGTGCTTTTTTGAATAGCGGATATTGCCTCAGACTTGGATTAATCACATTGACTTTGCTGAATATACTAGATTCTTCATAGGGAATTCTGGTAGGATAAAGTAGCCTGGAGTCTTCAGGTGGGTACAGATGCCACCTTTTCCTGGAAAAAGATAATGGAAACTTGCATCATAAAGTTCTATACCCGTGATGGCGAACCTATGGCATGTGTGCTGGAAGTGGCATGCAGAGTCATTTTTCCGGGTATGCCAGCTGTTGTCTGTTGCTCTTCCGGGATTGGGTGCACATGTGCGCTGGCCAGCTGGTCTTCACACGTGAGGGAGTGCCGGAAACCGAAAGGTGTGCCTGGGAGCTGTTCTTCCAGTTTCTGGCGCTCCCGCACAGACACACACACACTCCTGTTTCAGCATTCAGTGCTGAAAAGGTTTGCCAACACTGTTCTATACGAACGATACAAGTGTAAATAGGTAAATTCTGCCTAAATTCACACATCATTATAAGCCATAGATTGCATATCTGTTAACATTCCCAGGAAAATGAGACACAAGTAGATGAGCTAATTCTACTGTATTTTAAGGCTACATTAACAGAATCTTGCAAGTGTGAAAGTACAAACCTACAAACATCACTTTTAATTGATCCACTGGATCGGATCCTTCCTAATTTCTTTCTCTGACCCTTAATACCAAAGGCACCTTAGGCTTCTATACTGCCCCACAGACATTTAACAGCACTATCTGGTTGGTTTACAATGTAGAAGCATTATTTGCATATTGCCCCCAATAATATGGATCCTCATTTTACTGACCTCAGAAGGATGAAGGCTGAGTCAACCTTGAGCCCCATCAGAATCAAACCCTAGGCTGTGAGCAGAGTTTGCCTATTCTACTGCCCTTTAATCACTGCGCTAGGGGGCAATTCCCTCTCTTGTCTGATTGTTTTCTAGAGAGCATCTCTTCCCCTCTTTCCCCAAGATCATCCACATGTTCCATTATAATATTTGTTTTTTTGTGACAAAAATCACAAGAGGTGTGTTCATATAGCATGCTACAGCAAACTAAACACACTACTACTTAGCATAAAGCGAACAGCCTTTTTGGTTAAAATTTGAACCCAGATCTAGAAAAAGTACATATTGCATAAGTACTATAAATCCATTTTTTTAATAACCTGTTCTCTCTAGATGTGTTGTCTAGCTACTCCCCCTAGCATGACAAATGATCATGGTGACTTAAATCCAACATTTTTGAAGGACTCTAAAGTGAGGAAGTCTGCAGAAAACAGCTATGGACATTGTAGAATGTTTCAGTTCCTATTATAAATTTGGACTGGATGTTTTTGGAGAATATTGCAAAGAAAAACAATACAACAAATTTCAGTCAGTTGTTATTGAATTTTTATTCTGATAAATCAGCTTTGTATAGAATAGAATACTACTCTTCAGACTGGTAACATTCTCTGTGTATTGTTACTTATTCTGCAATTTATGCCACATAAATAGTTAGGTCTTATTATTTTTCTATTTATGTATCAATCCCAGCTTGAATACCTTTAACACATTACAAAGTATTGTATAATCATTTGCATTTCCTGTAATTTGGAATGGGACAAAAGATCTATCCATTTTTCCTGAGGATTGTTCTGCAAGAAACAGGGACCATATTTCAGCTACAAGAGAGAAGATGTCCAAAATTGTAATTGTCAGATAAGTATTTCCTGTAAATGACCAAGATGCCTAGCCCCATTCCTCAAATTGTTAAGAGTTCAATGGGCTATTTGAAAAGAAGAGAAGCTTTACTTCTATTCTGATGGACAAGCACATGCAGTTTCTCTTTGGGCATGATCGGATAGCAGGATCCTATAGGCTGTAGAGTCCACGTGTTTTTGCATTTACTATCCTTACCTTTAGCAACCTTAGTTAAAAGCTTCAGATTGCAAAACTGTAAAAGAGTTCTGTCTGATAGACCTTGAAGAATATCACTTATCAGAATTAGGCTCAAGAGACCATCTAACTTTGTAAAGATCAACTTCCTATATTCCGCTCCATGTTTAGATGAAAACAAGTTCCTTTACATCTAGTGAGACTTCAGTCGAGGTATACCTATTCAAGTAAAACATCCAACTGTTTTTGAAGACCTTGGGATAGTGGCTACAATCCTATCTTCAAGCTGAAATGCTAAAGCAGAAAAGGATTGTATAGACAAGGAAGTTTGTGATGTAGTCCTTCTCTGTGCTTTCCAGTATAAAGACACTTTGTTTTGGTATTTTGGTATTCTATATGCACTGAATAGCTTAGATTTCTGAAAACAAGCCTTTGTATTCCTCCAGTTGCTCCCTGTGATTAACTGTTCTCTTATGTAGTCTAGGTCAAAAGTGCTTTCTTTCAACTCCAAGCCCAACTATCTACAGATAACCCAAGCCCTGTTTTACACAAGTGTAAAGTAAAAGTAAAAGGGCTGTAAGAATCTCTCCTATATTTATACTCCTCTAGTCAACATTGCCTTGTCTGCAAATATTTCCTCTCTATATTATATTAAAGTTACTCTTTTGATTTACTTTGCTCAATAAATCCTTTCAGCTTTCTCCTCATTGTGGATTCACTGCATTCACACTCACAAACCTTCTGCCCACGTTTTAATGTGGCAAAACACAAGTTTTCTAAATGGTTTGTGGGTATGTATGCCATAATGCTGCATTTTCAGTTTGCAAGCCAGAGCAAAACAAGCACATAAACGAGTTTTATAAATCATAACACAGAGAGCAAATTTATAAGAGAAGACACAAGGGAGGGATGTTCCCAAATATTTATTAAAGCCAAAAGGTTTTGTGGAATGGGTAGTTAAATGGTAAACAACATCCAACACATTAAAAGTAAAGTTGTGCACTTTGAAAGAAATCTCAACTTCACAGATCATTGGCAGAGTCTCAATTGGCAATGAAGTAAGAAAGAAATCTTAGTAGAAATTTCAATTGAAAGAAAGTCTGTGCACACCAATAAAGAAAAAGGACAATTTCCAAATGATTTGGAATGTAATTTCTAATATTACTATGGAATGCTGCATTACATTTCTAGTCAACCTTTTAAAAAAAATCAAAGTGGAAAATGCTCAGAAAAAGGAAAATCTGAATAACCTAAAATGAGAATGTCTGCCCTAAAAATAAAATAATACAATGATACAATCTTCCATATTCCTGTTGGTCAACGGAAATTATCCAAATTATTCAGTGCTACATATTGCCAATATCCATATCAATCTTCACAATTCTTCTTGGGGCAACAGTCCCGTCCCCTCCAAAGTGACATGATTGGAACTAAAACTGAATGTAATTTAAAATAAATGTTTGAAATAGGATTGCTACCTATGTGTTTAATATGTTTCTCTTTTTTGGCTTATAAATGGCAAGTCAGCAGCAAAATTTGGTGGGTTTCTCAGCCATGCTGGAGCCTGAGGTTGTGTAACCCCTGAGAAAAAGGAAAGCCAAGGAAAAGGAATGATCACAATGAAAAAATAAAGTTCATTAGATTGTATAATGAGGACTCGGACTGTTTTGGAGCAATATGCAAATAATGCTTTTACATTGTAAACCGGCCAGAGAGTGCTGTAAAGTGGTACGGGGTAGTACATACAGCTAAATACTATTCCTATGGTGCCCCACTTTTAAATGCTCAACTCTGCTTGTCATTGGCTGGCACAGCCTATCTGCATAGCCTGTCTTAACTTTCAATGCATGAAACCCCTGTGAATGGATTCAGTGTGGCCTAATCAGAAGGGAACTAGAAAAACGCAGCAGCATTATTCCCAGCATCAGTACATTTTTAAAGAATAAGTTGTATACTAGAAAGGAATACATAGTATATATTTGTGTGTGTGGAGAAGAGAGAGAGGGAGGGAGGGAGAGGGAGGGAGGGAAGGGGGGGAGGGAGGGTGGGAGAGAGAGAGAGAAAGAGAGAACATACCTATACATAAGCATACTGTAACTACTTGTTTCAAAAGTAGTAAGATTTTTATATGGACATTAATGTAATGATTTAATTACTGTATTTTTCGGAGTATAAGACGCACCAGAGCATAAGACACAACAAGGTTTTGAAGAGGCATTTTTTTAAAAAAGTAGGTAAGTAGATAGAGGGAGAGAGAGGGAGAGAAAGAGAGAGAAATACAGTAGGTAGGTAGGGAGAGAGAGTAGGTAGGTAGGTAGCTAGGTAGGTACGTAGATAAAGGGAGAGAGAGAAAGGGAGAGAGAAATAGAGAGAGAGAAATACAGTAGGTAGAGAGAGAGAGTAGGTAGGTAGATAAAGGGGGGAAGAGAAATAGAGATAGATAAATACAGTAGATAGGGAGAGAGTGAGAGTATAGGTAGGTAGAGAGATAGAGAAATAGAAAGAGATAGAGAGAGAAAAATACAGTAGATAGGGAGAGAGAGTAGGTAGGTAGACATTTAGACATTTTTAGACATTTATTAAGATTTATAGGCCGCCCTTCTCCCTGAGGGGACTCAGGGCGGCTTACAACCACAGGGAAGGGGGTGCAATAATAAAAGACAAACAGTGAGTAAACTAAATAATTAATAAAACACAACTTGCATTCAACAGGTAGATAAAGGGGGAGAGAAATAGAGATAGATAAATACAGTAGATAGGGAGAGAGTGAGAGTATAGGTAGGTAGAGAGATAGAGAAATAGAAAGAGAGAGAGAGAGAGAAATACAGTAGATAGGGAGAGAGAGAGTAGGTAGGTAGATAGAGGGGGAGAGAGAAATACAATAGGTAGGTAAGGAGAGAGAAAGAGTAGGTAGGTAGGTAGGTAGATGTTTCCAAGTGTATTTATCCATGCGCTGGAGAAGGAAATCACTGACAATCTGCAGCACCTAAGACTTTGTTTCTGCTGGCCCAGCATTTGATCAATGTAATTCTCATCAATCAGTTAAAGAGCTTTGCAAAGGGAAAAAAGTTTTTGCACTCTGCAAACCTCCCAAAAATGGCATGTTTTTCGCAAAAACAGGGCATTTTTTTCAAAAAAAAGAGAGGCATGAATAGCCTTGGGGAGGGGCTGCGGAGTGCTTGGGGGGGGCAAAAACGAGCAAAAACAGCCTGTTTTCCACGAAAACAAGCATGATTTTTGTCAAAAAAATTGCATGCATAGCCTAATGGAGGCTTATAGAATGCTGCTGGGGGATGGGGGGGGACAAAAAAAGCCCGTTTATTGCTCATTTCTGCCCTCCCCAGCCCCCAGGAGTTCTCTGAAAGCCTCCATAAAGGGTATGCACAGCCATTTTGGTGAATCTTATACTCTGAAAAATACGATAACACTGATACCAATTTTCTCATTTAAAAATATTTTTCTTTCTTAATAATGAACCTAGGCACTTTGTACCATGAAAAAGCTCTGCACATCAGAGCAGTTTAAAAGTAAAAACAAAACAAAAGATCAGGAATCCCTCTATCAGAGTGGTAAAGAGAACAATTGTCTATTCCTTCTTACCTGCCTTGCACCTGCAACACCAAGTTGCAACCATAGGAATCCAAATGACAGGGTGTGTTTGCTTCAGTGGAGCCAATCCACAAAGTGCTCTCCTTTCCATTTCTTCCAGGAAATCCAAAATCAGACCATCTAATGTCCTGTTGTAAAGGTAATATAATAAAACCTTGATTTTACAAAATCACATTTAGCAGACTTCAGCTACAATGGACAAAAGTTTGGCTTGGACATCATCTAATGCATATTCTATAGCAATCCAGACAATGGATATAGTTAACATCATTAGAGCTGTGGTGGCACAGTGGTTAGAATGCAGTACTGCAGGCTACTTCTGCTGACTGCTGGCTGCCAGCAGTTCAGTAGTTCATTTCTCACTGACTCAGAGGTCGATAAAATGAGGACCCAGATTGTTCGGGGCAATATGCTGATTCTGTAAACTGCTTAGAGAGGGCTATAAAGCATTGTGAAGAAGTATATAAGTCTATGCGCAATTACTATGGTGGTACTTGCGTTGTAACATTACAATGCATGTTCTAATATTGTTCTCGGGCACGTGTGTGGGTGGGTATCATGGATAATAGATGTAGCACAATTTAAATTTCATCCCTTTTATACATATGTGATATTAAAATCTATATAAAAGTGGTGGGATTTGGATCATGATGTAACATATGTTATCTTCCTGTTTTTAATCTCTCCCTCCTTAGGTACTGTTGAATGTGAGTGGCTGAGGATACCTATAGTCAAGGTTCATTCAGAAAAGTTCTTTGAAGATAGTTAAGAACCCTCCAGGTACAAAGCATGTGAAATGAAGAATCAACCCAGGTGCTTGTAGTCCACTATAATTATTTTACTTGGATAAACTTGGAAAAAAGGTTCTACCACTAGTTTTTTTCAAATTACCTCTTCTTTCACTTTATAACATATCAGTATACATCTTTTGCTAAATGTACAGCAAATCTTAGAAATATTATTCTATAATGTTGTTTGTTTGGGGGAATTAATAGTGGCATATGTCCAGAATCTCCTGAAATTAATTTTGAAAAATGAAAGGAAACCAATAAGGAAAAAGTCATTCCAATTTGCTAAGTGTATCAACACCAATTTCTTCAACGATAAGGACATCATTAATGCCATCTATTCTTGGTTAGCTCTGTAGTTGTGATTAATTATTAACTGTATACAAATCAACAACTTCGTAACTTTTCTCTTAATTTCTTTTTGTTTTTTTGTTTTTTAAAAAAAGTTTTTATTTTTAAACAAACATAGACAAACAAGACATATAACATAAAAACATCTTCCATTATGTACAGTGTGTCAATTGTTTACAAGATTTTTGTGCATCCTCTCAATAATCATCACTTAAACTTTATATAAAGTCACAAAGTCAATCAGATATATTTATATACATTATTATTATAGTGCTTCATTTATTTGACTTTCACTATTATTTCTTCATTTTAAACCAGGTATTCTAAATATGGGTT